ACACCTAGTCATCCTGGTAAGTGCTAAATTATTCTGGGTTAGTTTCTGCCAGCTTCTTATAAGATCACTTATGGCTGCCACTGAATTGGTGGGGGCTATTCCCAAAGACACGCCTACATAAAGGTGACAAAGTAAAGGTGGACTCCATGCAGGGAAGGCCCAGCGCTGCAGAATGTATGTTATCCTTTCCCTCCCAGGACCCGCCCTGTCCGTCTGCAGAGCTGTGTTCTGGGAATCCCCTCAGTCGGCAGCTATCAGCAGGATCATCTCAGGGAACTTGATTTCTCCATCTACACTTTTCTTTTCTCCCCTGGAAAGGTTCATCCTATCACTCATGTCCTAAACTACAACATCCAACTCGGCCAGGCTCTGACTCCTCCCTCACTTGTCTCAGTTTTCAAAATGCTCCTCGTCTCAAGAGCTCCTCCATTTCGCAGTCCACGCTGTGCCTCCTATCTGGCTACAGAGCTTCTCTTCTGTTCTTGTTACAGCAGCATCTGCCTCTATCGAGGCCCTCTCCACAGCTTCTCCCTTCTTTTGCAAAGGGGTAGTAGCATATATGAGATAGAATTGGTCTTCAATGCTCTGATGTGAGCTTTTGTCCTGCACTAGACGCTCTGAGCCATATATCAGACACCCTCACCCGGGAGGTCCTGACTGGTGCTGGCCCTCCCAAGCTCGCCACGTCCTTGCCTCCTGTGGAAGTGGACAGTGAACAGAACTGTCCAAGGCAAGCATTGCTTATCTCCTAGGCTTCAGATTCATTTGACCAAAGGCAGCAGTGTGCCTGACTTCTAGAACCCCTTGCAGTCTCTCCTTCAAGCCAGAAGCACAGTTTCACCAGTAACCATGGCACCTCACCAGTGGGAATCCGCACACACCCTTCACCCAGACACCTACACTTACTTTCCTCCAGGACAGACATAACCACTTGGCATCAAATCCTGAGATGACTTCACATCTAGTTACACTCTTTATTCACTGCAAATACACCACATTCACCCACAGAACCAGGATCAAAAGTATTAAAAAAAAAAAAAAAAGCCATGAGTGCCTAGCAGTTAGTTCTTCACTGCTTGGGTTCTGGACAAAGTGGGCTGCGGGTTCAGGCTCAGGGCCACTGCCATGAGAACAGCAGCTCACTTGCCTCCCCCTCAGGTCTGAGGCCCTGGGCTCAGCTCTTCCCCCCTCCAGGTGGGAGAAGGGAGTTCGAGTCAAGCTCCTGTGGGCGGGAGAGGGGGCGAATGCGCTGCGTAAGGCCCAGGAGAGGCCAGTGCAGACCACAGTCCAGTGTCCCCTGTGCAGGCAAAAGGGGTTTTCTTTTGTCAGAGGTGCACAGATGGGGGCTTTGCACCTGTCTCCTGTACTACTATGGGTACTGCTTTAAGCAGAGATTATGTTTAAATAGTAGGTTAAAGTTTAAAAATGGGAGTGTCGTGGTTTTTGTTATACTTTCACAGCAACATATGCTTGTAACATCAGTAACCAATCTCGTATCAGCACCTCAGAAGGCAAAAATTGGCATTTCTCTTAACTGGCCTGAAAACATCAGGAAGGATTTGTCTAAAAACATGAGGCAGGTAGTAAATAATAGATGCCATCTGACTTTCCTGAAATTAGAAATTTGTTTTGTTGAATGTGGTAAGTTAAAATTTGAGAAGACAAATAACCTATTAACTCTAAGACCATCTTGACAAAAACAACTGAAATGATCAAAGAGAAATCCAACATACATACACAAGTTTAAACTTCTAGACATTTCCAACTTTTAAGGTCCTAGGGTAGAAAGAAATTAAGCAGGTGAATATTAAAATCAGGGGGCCCCAATCTTTGAACTGCAGGATTGCCTGCACTATCCACAAACCATTTGTCTAGGGAACCATTTCACTTACAAGGATATTTCTGCTCATCCCAGAGACTTCCACTGTAAGTAACTCTACACTCCACCCCAGCAAGCACTCCATTGTCTTGGAACCCTGATGACAGAAATGTCCTTCCACTGTAGACCATAACAGGAATATTTTCTGGTTTTAGCATTAGCAAGCGCCCTGTGGTATTTTTACTGCAACACCAGCTATGCCTGTGTGGATGCTCACTGCCCTCAAGGTCTTCTGTTAGTGAGTTATGCCAAACTAATCTCTTCATGTGTGAGTTATTTGGGTTTGACGCTGAGCATGTGCTGTTCTAATAATCTCCACTGACTGTTTTTATAAGATCCACTTTCAAATGCTTTGTCATTTCCATGTTCCTTCCACCGGGTTACAAATAAGAAGTACAATATAATTTGAATTACATACTCAATTCTTTTCTACAAGTTAGCAAGGAAAATACCAGATAAAGCAGATGGCTAAACCATCTCTTGTGACTTACAGGAGTGCTGATGAGCTCCATTCTCAGAGTTGAGGCTGTCTTTTATAACTACTTATTTGGCAATAATTTTTATAGGTACTTTTATTTTTAACCTAACATGTTGGTTTATTCTCAAGGCCATATAACCATGATAACCACCTAGTTCCAAACACTTAGCCCAAAAGAATTTCCTCACCCGTAAACCTTGCTTCCCCTGTGTCTAGCCTCCGGCAACCATATATCTACTGTGTACAGATTTTCCTATTCTGGACATTTTATATAAATAGAATCATATAATATGTGATCTGGATTCTATTCTGTCTGGATTCTTTTACTCAGCATGTGTTCAAGGCTCACTCACGTGTGGCTTGGATCAGCATTTCATCCCTTTTTATGACTGAACAGCCCACTGTTGGAGAGATTGCATTTTGCTTCTCCACACATTGGCAGTGGGCATTTTCACTGATCTCACTTTTTGGTTGTGAATAGCAATGCCATGCATATTTGCACGCAAGCTTTTGTGGGAACATATGTTTTCAATTCTCTCAGGTATATACCTTGGAGTGAAAATGCTGGGTCACATAGTGACACAGTGTTGAACTCTTTGAGGAACTTAGGTGGTATCTTAATATGATCAGGGTAGCCATATGGCCACTGCTGTTTGATCCAGTGGAAATGTTACTTCTATCAATAGCTTTGGCTTTCTAGAAACAACTGGGATTAACAGCCATGACTTTCCCAGTTACTATGTTGTCTGTCAAGCTCACATGAAAGGAAAGACAATTCATCTGAGACAACTGCCTTCCTGGTAGATCATTCTTCTGACTGCCTTCAAACTAAGTGGAGATGCATTTGAGAACAGTCATGGTGATGAGGAGGGGTTGACAGCGAAAAGACTTTCATTTGAAACATGATACATGAAAGGTTTCTTGGGATGCTTTTGGTTCAACTGTCATTCATGTTACAGGCATGAGTCAGGTTCAGAATATGAATGTTTTTTAATACATTGAGAAGTTGTATCTTGAGATCAACAGTTGACAAGCTACAGTCAAATCCAGCCAGCCACCAGACTTCTGACAACCTGACCTAAGAATTTGTAGATTTTTAAATGGTTACATTTTTGGAGTCATTTAAATAACCATACCTGTATGTCACATAATCAACTTACATCATGGCTCTCAGAGCCTTAATTATTTCCTACCAGGTTCTTTGGGAAAAGGTTTATGGACCCCTGCTCTGGAAAATACACGATGAAAATCAAGTTCACTAAGACCTATGAATAAGCAGAGTACCAGGTTATTAATTGAGCACAAGAAATATCCATTAAACAGGGAACACTCAACTCAAGATGTCAAGTTAAAAGTCTGGTAAATGCACAGAATCAAAATAGACAAAGTAACATATGCTGGACAGGGATGGTGAGTTATAGCATCAAAACACTAGAGTTAGAGTAAAATATTCATTTCTCACAAAAAGAACACATCACCCGCAACCATAAAGTTTCTACCAGTTGGAGAGTTCTAAATTTAACACAGTACATGCTTTGCTGAAGCCATCACACTCCACCCTCATCCTCATCCTCATTCTGGTCAATTCTGGTTTTGCCTACCAAGTGTCAACAGCAAACCTTTACTTACATGGGTTTGTAGTGTTACTGCCTCCTCCTTCAATGAGCTGATTAAGTTACACACTGCTTAAAGTTGTAGGTTTTGCTGCTTACAAGATACCAATATTAAACCTACCAAACGGTCATTAATTACAGCAGACCAGATTTTCAACATCCCTTATAGATGAGGAAACCAACACTTGTTCTTTTATAACCTACATTTTTTCTCTAGTCCCTGTAGCTTCTCAAAAGTCATGGCAGTGGGCTGTTAAGATACAGCTGTCCCTCAGATTCATCCCAAGATACATCATGCCCACATTTAGTATTGTCTATTCTAGTCATAATTATCTACTTTTACTGCTGGATCTTTAAATCCTTCAGCAAAACGAGAAGTTAAGCTGTTGGCTTTTGATCCTTCTCACCAAGATGAAAATGCAGACATTAGAAGATGCTGCTTTCCACATACATTCCTTATTAGCCCTCCCTTCCACTCCATGTGGTTTCCTTAGAGCCTCACTATACCTCATACAGAACTGGATAAAGGGTACAACATTCGTAGATCTTGACTCCTCACCTACCCACCACCTTTCTAGTTTTCATCTTCCTATTGTATTTCTTGATACACTAAAAAAGTGGACTCACGTTATAAAATACCCACTGCAGGTGAGCCTCGGGGAGTAATGCAGGCTATTTCAGAAATTTTCCCAGGAATGATCTTGGCTAACTTACTAAAGAAAATATTTTATCAATGTAAACATGTCAGACACAACTGTATCTAAAATTAGAATAAGCATGTCCCAGAAAGGGAGCCATCTTGTAGAAACAGAATTACAGGCAGGTTATTCCAGCATCTAAGGCATTCTAGATGCCTTTCCCCAGAGTGAGCTGTCACTCAGTTGTTTTAGGAACTAATGCAGGGTGTGTTTTTTCTTTAAATGACCCTTGGGTTTTATTTACTGGGACACATAAAGTCCTCTAAGCTAACCAAGTGCTTCCAAACAACAATGTGGTAACTTACAAAAATGACTGACTGGGCTATACTTACACTGAAAAGGCGACACAGCTTGATCCTGCCCATATCTTAAAGGGAACGAGCCTTCGGTGGCCTGCTCTCCTGAAATCACCTTCTGGGCTGCAAAATACTTGGGCTTGAGCACATACTCCTGGGTCTGGCCATGATGAATCATCACATTCTGTGAGGAAAGGGGTGTCATCATCCTGGGAGAAAAAAACAAAGTGAAGAGAAATAAGGAAAGGACTTTTCAAAGTCAACCAAAGAGGAAGGAATAAGAAATAAGTTCATTTTAGATGAGAAATTTCACACAAGGCTCATTTTCCCCTTCAAATACTATTCGTGACCTAGAAGGAACTAAGAGTTTGCATTCGGAAATCTGACATAAAAGAGACTCTGTCCACCTAGTCAAGGAGGGTAAGGATCAACAGGTGACCACCACAGGTGGTTCCCATCACAGGATTCGAGGCACAACTACCCTAGCTAAGCCTTCAAGCTAAACACATGTCACTTGAAGTGAACTCATGGACAAAGAGAAACCTGAATGAATATAAGTAATATTTTAAAGTATATTTTATTTTTTTCTAAGATCCTTTTTTATTTCTTCTTTATGTCTTTTATATCATTATGTATTCCCCATAAAAACCCCATCACCAATTCACCCATGAGCCATCACCATTGTCCCTTGTACTCTCACTCCCGTGTTGATCCCTTTCCCTCCTCCCTCACCAAATGTCTCCAATTTACGGTTGCCAGTTAATTTTGTGTTTTTTTCCCTGATGCCTTATGTGGTGCCCCTCCTATAAGTGAAACCATCCAGTATTTTTCATTTTCTGTCTAGCTTATATACACAATGGAATACTATGCAGCAATTAAAAAGATAAACTCATGCCATTTGCAGCAACCTGGATGGAGCTAGAAGGGATCACACTACGTGAAATAATCAGAAGTTACATTTTAGTTTAATTATGTTTTTGAGGTAATAGTGTACAGTGTTTGTATTAAGTACAGGATCCCCCTTCTGGTGGTGCTACCACAATATCACCACAGCATTCACAGTCCACCACCGAGGTCACGTGCTCCTTCCCTGTGTTGTGCTCATTTCTCTTTCTGCCCCTCCCCTGCTGAATGTCAGGATTCTATAGTCCCCACTGAGGGACTAATATTTGCATTTATCTGACCCACTGTCTGGTTTCTCTATGCTCCACATGTAAAAAAAGGCTATCCAGTATTGTCTTTCTCCTTCTGACTGACATCACTTCCCTGCCAGCTCTATCCATGTTGCCCAAGCATGTAAGTTTATCTATTTTGATCACTGAGTAGTATTCCTTGGGTGTGTATGTGCCACATCTTCTTGATCCACATGTCTGTTTGGAGAGACTTAGGTTTTAAAGGTGTTAAAGGTGTATTTTATACTCTGGTAAGTAAGTAGCATTAAAAATGTAAAGAAGAGAAAGTTGAAATATAGCACAGGAAGGAAACTATACAAGTAATTCCTAATTTGATCAGTTAAGCTTAACTACCTGTAAGCAGCTGGGACTACGGAGTGCAGTAGAATGTTCCTCGGCTTGGTGGGAAGACAACTAGTTGTTTTTTTGTTTTTTTTTTTTTAATAATAGTTTATTTTTACATCATTTTGTGCATTCTTTCATCTCAGTTGTAATCCCCATAGGCTTCCCAACATCAAATCTCCTGTGTTCCATCACCACAGTCCAGACAACTGGGATCCTGGACCTCAGTCCCCAGGTCCAAAGCATAGAATCTCCGCCGCACAGGACTGGAAAAAAGCTGGTAAAACTGTGTACATAGCAAAATGGAAGAAAAGCCCATGCTAAAGTAACAGCTTGCCCTCATCGACATTCATTTTCTACACTGCATTTCAGTGATGTTATATGAAATGCTCAGGTTAAGTGTGTTATCATTACCAGTTCCTAACAATAATAACTAATCATAGTCTTATTATCTCATCAACAAAAAAGTCAGGACCTTGAGATCCTTCTGCCCACGACTGTTGAGTTTCACCCCGCTGCCCAACCCTCTATTTCCGGTACTGTTGCAGCATGTAATGTGCACTTAACACTACACAGCCTTCACCCAAAGGTCGTCACCCCTGGGAGAACAGCTGAAATCAGGAGCTCAGACTAAAACAAAGAACATAAACACGCCATGCCAACGTATCCCGGAAAATGCAAAGTCACTACTGAACTCACAGAGCAGTCCAGCGGCGAGCTGAGCCTGGGAAGAAGGCCTGCTCCTCGTGTCCCAGCTACACTGGGGAAAGTAGCTGCAACTGACACTACAGTTTAGGAAAAGGGTTGACAGGACGACACTCATCCTGATAAGGTACCACAAAACCCAAAAGTCAGCCCCACTGAGGGATCCCTGAAGAAGAGGGAGAAGGAGACCACGTCAGGTCAGTGGGAAAAGCCAACTGTCAAGCTGTCCACAGTCCCAGACCACAGCACCACTCATCAAAGGTAGAAAAAGCGCCCAAATGACAGTCTAGATGATTCACTTTAGGTAGAGCTGATTCCATACAACAAGAATCCATAAGAGACAATGCAACAGAAAAAGGCTGGGCTCGAGGGATCTAGCTCTACCACTTTACACCTTGTGGGTGCAGAAAAATCCATCTTGGGCCTGGATTTTCCCAGACCCAGGCCATGCAGGGACATTCCCTTTGTCATGGGATGAATGACCTAAGTTCCTGAAAGCTTAGGGTTGAACACATAAACACTTTCGCTCTGGTGGTGTAACATAGTGGTTTGAACTTTCTATTTGGTTGGGACAGTGAAGAAAGTGAAACAGCTGGACTCATCTGGTGGTGACTGAGAGGAACCAAAACACTACTCAGCCAGCCTCCTAGGAAGCTCAAGGGCCGCTCACTTGACAGCTATGCAGCTACCCTGTCCCTGAGCTGTGCTACTGCACCTGGTGGAACAAGTCTGGGCTTGCTCCTGGGCCGAAGAGGACAGCCTGGCATTCCAGGACAACTAAGGTCTGCTCTGTCCACTGCCAGACCAGGGAGAATGCAGAGACGCCTTCCAGGGGAGGCCTCCCTCTGCCCCCTCTGAGCCAAAGCAGCAGGAGGCAGCGAGAAATCAAGCAACACAGTAGGGTTTCAGGCCTGACCTAGGTGCCTGAAAGGGTGTTACTGGTTTAAAGCCAAGGGGATGAGCAAAGGGAAGGAGGTGTGCCGAGCCCCAGTGTCAGAAGAAAGGGCCATCTATGTGGAAGATGAGACTTAGAGAAACATGGTGGAGCTCTGGAGAGCAGAGGAAAAGCCTCCCAGTGCAGGATTTGTGTTCTATGAGGGGCCAACTTCTTTAGAAGCTTCTTATCATTTCAGATAATGAGAACAGGCAGCTACAAAGTTCTGAAGGATATTCACACTCTATGGGGGAACATGAAAAAAGTGTGTAGGGGGAGGAACAGGGGGAGGAAGGGATTAAAAGGAAGAAAAAGGTGACACAGCTCCAAGAAGGAAGATAGTCTCTAAGGAGGAATGAGGACCCCTCAAACTGCTGCAGGAAAAGCAGGGAATTAAAGTAAAAAAGGCCACTGGGAAGGACAACAGGTGACAGTCACCATGACCATCGCATCCTGGCGCTGAGGAGTGATGCACACAAGAGTGAGCACAGACAGCGAATCTCTCAGCGGGTGGGAGGACTATGACCCACAGAGCAGAAAAAGTAGGCCAGAGGTCAGGGCACAGCGGCCAGCCAAAGACTTGAATCTTGGAACCTCTGTCTTCATAAGCAAAGGAGAAACAACTGAGTCAAACTTCTTTTCTTAAAAGACAGGATTAGTCACAGTGTTTACCCGGCTGCCTTCAGAGTGGCAATTCTTGGCGCACACACACAGGCTAAACTTTTCCATATTCCTTCTCGATCCATGATTTGACCTGCAGTGGGTGGGAGGACCTGGCAGAACACAAGCCCCTTTCCACTGAAGAAAAGGGTTTTTGGACCTCACAGAAGGGAACCCTCAACAGGCCATAAAATGTTTCCCACAGGCTGGGCTGACACGGTCTAACCCTTTCCACGGAGTTTCGCATAGTCAGGTTTGCAATCAGAATTCAGAATAAGAAGAGGAGGAAAGAGCACGGCAGGACATAGCCTGAGCCGTCCCCTCATGTCATCAGGGCCAGTTTCTCTCCACACAGTCCAGGGAGCTGCGCTCTCAGCCGCTCTGCGTGGGCGGACACTGCTCAAGGAAAAAGGTGGTGAACTCAAGGGAGTAAGAAATGCCAACTTCAGCTTCATGGAGAAAACCTCTCTTTTGTGGAGTTCTCAAGAACAATGTGAGCACCAGGAGAGTGAAGGGTAATATTGCAATTCTATGTGGAAAAGAGAAAAAGTCAGAAAAAGCCAAACTAGGAACAAACTCTAGAAATCTGACTGGAGAGCTGAGGCGGGAGATGGAGGCGGGAGATGGAGGCGAGAAGCCAAGACAGACTGTGGTGGAGGACTACGGGTGGTTTGGTGGTGGGAGGAAACCACACCCGTCTGAAGGGGGAGATCCTCTACCTATAAATTACTAACAACCTGGTAAAACAATGTTACTGCAATTTAACAAAACAACACCAGAACAATGACACAGTGGAGGATAACACACATACACAAACGTGCGTGTGCGCTCTGTAAAGGGAAACCACTCTGTCATCAATGAGTCCAATCATGAGAATTATCAGACTCAAAGAATTAAGAGGTAAGAGGCTACTGAGGAGCAGACTAGGACAGCAGAGACTGCTGGTATTAAGCTCTGGAGCTGCCAGAACAAGCACAGTGAAAGGGAAATGAAAGAAGCAGTCGTGAAAACTTGAGGAGAGAAAGGACTGCATCGAAGCAGGGACACAACGGTCACCCTTCTTGTCTCAGACTTTCAATGAGATGAAAAAGACAAAAGGCATTCAGAAAATAAAGCTGAAGGTTAGTATTAGGAGAGGCTGGGGAGACATGGAAATTAAGGGGACTCTGGTGGTCAGCATTAAAAATCATGATAAACACAACCAAGTAGCTTGGGAGCTAAGCAGAAAATCGGGGGTATGGAGAAGAGGGGCTCAGCTAATTAACGGAAGACCTACATAAAAGAAAAAAAGCAAACTTCCCAACTGAAGACTTCCACAGCAGCACAGCGTTGAACTTGCCCACACTATTGGTTGTCCGCTCTCTACCTGCAAACCCACACTTCACACCCAGCCTCA